CAAACTAGACCGAGTTAAACAAGGAATTATGGCAGTGTATATCTGTTAACCCTTTCCGCACATCAGTCATTATCATAAACAGCACAAAATAGGTAATTTACATCAAACTGGTTATTCTCCCACTCTTCATATACATCTATATGTTATACCATTAATTTTTCTTTTATCATTTTTAATGACATTATCATTGTTTAAGCTTGGATCGCGATTTATTATATTTAATGTTTCTTCCTACTGTACATATGTGATTGTCACAGCCTTACCGCAAAATTATAGTAATATTCGCGTACTGTAATAATAAAAATTAACCGTAACAATAGTTTACTAAATCTTAAAAAATAGTCAGAATCAAACAAGTAAGCAACTTATAAATCTAGTGCGTAGTCGCCAAATAAAAGTATTGCTATCAAATATATTTTGCAGAATAGCGATATGGTATGATCACATGCTATTTATCGATTTGGCTAATATAATTAGTAGAGAATTTCTTTCCGAGGGAATTGATGTTTATCATAACATATTGCAATTATTTGGCATAGCAGGTCTAGGTGCCATGGCAAGGCCATTTGGCGCCTTTGCATTTGGTCATATTGGTGATAAGTATGGCAGAAAAATAGCACTACCAATCGCAATTTTGCTAGTATCAATACCATCAAGTTTAATTGCATTTATTCCAAGTTATAGTCAAGTAGGTATAACATCTACTATACTGTTGATTATGATCCACGTTATACAAGGGGTTGCATTAGGGGCTGAACAAGGGGGCAGCTCTGTCTACCTCATAGAGCATTTATCTGATAAGAAGAAAAAATTAGGAATGCTTTTTGGTATCATAGGTTTTGGTAGGTCTATAGGTATCTTACTTTCTGCATTGGTAGTCATTCTCTGCAAAATAACAACTGATTTTAACGCTTGGGGATGGAGATTACCGTTTATTTTCTCTGCTGTTTTGGGATTAATTAGCGCATATAGCATATATATATTAGGGGAAACACCTGTATATAAGGCGACTCAGAAGCAAACTCATTTACCAATAATAGACTTGATAAAACACCATAAACGAGCGTTCGTACTTGCTATTTTAATAGCTATGCCTGTGAATGTCATTGTTGGATTCACTATATTTGCTCGCACACTTGCGAAGGAAATAGTATCAATGGAGGTATATGTAACGACATATATTAATGAAATTGTATCCATTATAACTGGCATATTAATGCCAATATTTTCAATATTATTTGGAATTTTGGCTGATAAAATGGGAAAAGAACGCACGGCAATTTTATTTATAGTAATAACAATGATATTGTGCTGTCCTTTGCTATCTATTGCATACTACTACAAAAGTTATCTTGTGATTATGCTGAGTGTAATGGCTTTCTCCATGATCGAGAGGGGTATAAATCCCATCGGAATAGTAGCATCTGAATTATTTCCTACAAAAGTCAGATTTAGTGGTGTTAGCTTATCACGTAACATATCCTTTACTTTGCATGGAGGATTCACTCCTATGATATGTACTTGGTTTACTATAACCTTTCCTCAAGTAAACTTTGTTTCTGGACTTTATGTGGTATTGTGTTTACTAATCAGTTTAGTGGCAATATTGCAGATAAAACCACAAGACAAAAAACTTTAGACTCAATGGATTTTGCAAAAGACCTATTAAAAATTAAACCGCAATCCAACCTCAATGCTATGAGTGGTTATATCATCTGCCACAGGTATAGGGATGCTAAAATAACGGTAACCGAGAAAAAGGTTCATTTCTGGAATAATAGAATAGTCAACACCAAGTTTTGCTTGATACGCAAACCAAGGGACATTTAATGGTATCGGGTTCTGCAACGATTTGCTAAACTTTTTTAATCTAAAAATTGTCGGTCCTATACCAAGACCTACATATGGAGCAAATTTTGTATTTTTAATGGTAGGACTGTAATGCAAATTTAACAGAAGTGCCAATATACTTGCGGATTTATCAAACACAGGGGTATCACTACTATTCTTAATATTGATTTGAGAGTACATAATTTCAAAATCAACTCGACCATTTTCTTTAACATGATAACCTAAAGATGAGCTACCAAGCCATTGAAAATCAATAGCACCTTTAAATTTATTGATATCATCAACTTCTTTAGCTATTATCCTTTTTATAAAAGCTGACAAATAACTATCTTCTTTAACTAAATCTTGTACCCTTTCTCCTATTGCTTTTATACCTTCTACAAATACCTCTGAATTATCGTAAAATATTCTACCACAACCAATGCTAGTGTAAAAGCCATATACTTTATCATCTTGCAGTTGTGAATTAACATCAATAGACTTTTTTTGCAACTTGATTTCCGATGGCAATTTTTTTGTTGATATTCTCTTCAAGATGTACTCATCTGCACTACTTCCATAATCATAAATAGGTTGTTCAAAAGGTGTGGTAATGTGCTTAGCATCTGCATTGTAGATAAGAAAAAAAGAGATAAATGAAATAGTAATAAAAAATAAAGAGATAGATCTTCTAATCGTCACAAGTAAACCCGTAATTTAAAGTTTATGGTATGATACTACCATAAATTCATTAAAAATTAAGAAAAAACATTGCCAATTAAATAGTCATTGTCTATTTCTAGAATATCAGCTTTCACAATACTTTTAACTGTTGGCCGCGATTTCAACTTTACTAGTGCAAAATTTTCCGCCCTACCAATGTGATTGCGCTCAACTAAAATAGTTTGTCTAGTACCTACTAAAGATTGAAGAAAGCTAGTCATCATTTCCTTGTTAACTTTCCTTAGATGCTTCACTCTCTCTTTACGCACATTTTCTGGTACCTGTGGCATTTTTGCAGCCGGTGTGTTTTTACGTTCTGAATATGGAAAGGCATGTAAATAAATTACATTGATTTCTTTTAACAGATTAACTGTATCTTGAAACATCTTATCAGTTTCTGTTGGGAAGCCAGCGATAATATCGGCGCCAAATATTATGTTAGGCCTTAAGCTTTTTACTCTATAACAAAATTCAATCGCTTGTTCTCTGCTATGGCGACGTT